TTACATTTTCATGATTATCTGTATCAGATTTTGTTTAAGAAGTAGAATGTACATAAATTGACTGGATTTTAATGAAACTTTCAGAAATTCCTAAGATCTTATAGCTTTGTTTTCATTTTTTGATTTTGATAACTTTCGTGGTTTCCAAAGCAAAAATAAACTTTGTCATATCTTTGTCTACAATACGGGATATGCTTTTTGCACCAGCAGTTTTTCATACGTATTTACTACACTTTTATCATATCATTTCTATACAATGCCTTTAAACAGGTTTTTTTTATGTCAGACCTCAACATTTTTTATGGATTTACAATACCAAAATATAGATTCAGTCATACCTATACAAAGGTAAAGGCTGTCTCAAAAATCTTCTACGCTTATTTATTTTGATCGTATTTGTCTTTGAAAGGTATTAATGTTGTAAAATATTTTATTATTTCATTTTTCCTTTTGAAAGTTATGATCCTTAATTGTAATGATTATTATTTAAATGAAGATAATTTCTCCACTAATTGTGATATTTTGCTGTACACTGGTTGTGAAATCGGAAACATGCCTTGGGAAAAATGAAAAGGCAATATTGTCTGGTATAAAATCTTCCATAAAGAAATTGGAAGAAAAATTGGAAGGTAAGGTACCAATTCATTTATATACAGCTAAAAGATCTCACACATGTTTTGTTTTACTTGTTCACACAATTCCTACGAGTCGGAGCGATTGAGAGCTTGAAATGCTGCATAGACATCCGTAAATTGTTGACATGCTGCATAGACATCCGTAAATTATTGACATGTTGCATAGACATCCGTAAATTGTTGACATGCTGCATAGAAATCCGTAAATTGTTGACATGCTGCAAAGACATCCGTAAATTGTTGAAGACTTTCTGAAGACATTAGTATGTCTTTATGCTATTTGTGTCATTGGGTTGCACTCTATATGGCTTTGTCCCGGCGATTATTCATATATATACAATTCTGTTTACGCATTTTTAATTTTGGTTCATTTGTATGTTTCGGAGTTTAGTGTGGTGTCTATTTTGCTGAACTAGTTTAAATTATAGTTAAGGGACCATCTGAAGCCCGCCTCCGGGTGTGGGATTTTCTCGCTTCGCTGAGACCCATCGTTTTCTGCTTTTTGATCGGGTTGTCTTTTTGACACATCCCCCGATTCCATTCTTTATTCTATATATATAGAATTTGAGTGAATGGAATTAACACTTTATAAATTTCGTGTGTACGAAACGCTTTTCTGGATTTACCTTCATTAGCTCAAACCTAAATATCTAAAAGCTAAGGATGTATAAATACGTAGAAACGTTAGGAGATGAATTACCAAAAGGGTCCTTAAATGAATAGCCAAATTCAGTGAATATCAATCTGGCTTGAGGGAGTGAGCTGGAGCCGCAAGGACAAGGCTTTCATATTTCAGTTCATTTATAACAAGCCGGAATTGCATTGCCTTAATTACTACCCGGTATCTCGGTAAAATGTTTGACTAAGTGATGTATTTATTTTTTTTTAAATTCGTTATCTATTAAATGAAAAGACGTTTAATTTACGTTAATGAAAGCTAATGATTTTTGTCATACTATCTCGTTTCTATGCATGTGTTAATGCTGAATTTGTTAAAGAAGAAGATGTAACCAAAAATAATCAGAAATTCTTTTTCAAATATTTTTCGAAATGAATCAATCTTAGACTTAAACTCATAAAATCATTATTTACAGAATACGTAGATAGTATTCAATATATGTAGGAAAATCTCCGAGATGCAGACCAGGATGGAAAGAATACAAGGATAGCTGTTATTTCTTTTCTAAAGACAAAAAACCCTGGCAAGAGGCGGAGGTATGTGTCAGTTTGTTTTTAGTTTGAACACAATAAAATAGAATAGCTAGAACGGCATGAATTAAAATATACAAACACTTTGAAGATCATACTGTGACCAGAAGTTGTTTACATTAATCTTCTTATTGTTTATAATGATAAGTTCTGAATTATAAATTTGTTTAACTTCAATTGTGATATACGTATCTGCATTTTTATTTTCATATTTCCCCCAATGAAAAATATTTATTATATATGATCAATGGTAATAAATTGACGTATCCCTGACAATAGAAATAAGCCGACGATTACACTTGTATTTTTATATCGAGTTTAAAGCAAGGTCTCAAAAAGTATAACACATATATTTCTTTTTAAACTTAAAGTAATCCTGTTTGCTGAGATTAATGGTAAGGTTGAGCAACCCGTGGTGCTTCGGTAAAGTAATACTCTTGTCACGACCCTGCAGGAATAACATTGTATGGTCATTTAAAGATAGTGTGTATATTGAAACATACAAATACTTTGAGAGGCTTTGTAGTAAAATGTGTAAGCCAGTTTGAAGCATCTCCAATCTAGTTAAAATATAGATTTCTGATTTCGTTATCCTTATTGACGGAGCTAGCGATTCCGATAGATCTGAATTTTAATTAGATTGAAGCATCAAGTGCTAATAACTGATTACATCTGAAAATTCTCCAAAACAACCTACTTTATGTTTGTAGGTAGATTGTCGAAACCTTGGAGGTTACCTCACACAAGTCACTGATTCTCCTGAAAACTCCTGGATTGTTACCATGATCACAAGTAAAAGTAAGTATATCATTTGTTTTCTGTGGTGATATCAAACCATCTCAAAGAAGTTGAGTCTTATAGTTAATATTATTAGCTGATGTATAGAAGTATGGTCACCAAAATTCCTCTTAGTTCGCAGTAAAATTTATGCGTATGAGCAGTTGTCTATTGGTTTGTGTGGTAAGCATAAATACCCTACCACGTTAGTTGTGACGGTAAATCCGATACCTCCAGTAGAAACAGTGTCACGTCATGTACACGCGCAAGAATCCTTTCAACAGCTTCAATTATTCCTTAAGTTGTCTGCTGTAAGGCAAAATATCTGTTGCTATCCAACATAGCCTCCGTTTCGGTTATATATTTCAGCCAATTTATTCGATCGATTTTTTTACCGATTGTTAACCCTTCCGGAGCACCTGAGATAACCCCCTTTTTTTAGTGGGGTTCGTGTTGCTCAGTCCTTGTTTTTTAATGTTTAGTTTTGTGTACTGTTTTTTTGTCTTTTGGTCTTTTTCTTGTTTTTTGCCATGGCGTTGTCAGTTTATTTTCAACTTATGAGTTTGAATGTTTCTTTGGTATTTTTCGCCTCTCTTCTTCTGAATAGCGTGACATTTTTTTCTGATTTCTAATAATTCAAACTGTTGGGTTGCTTTGTATAGGTTTATGTTATAGAGAAAGTCCAAATAACTGTCCATTCCTGGGAAATAATGGAGCGGAGGCCCGTAGGGCCGACGCCCATTATTTCCCAGGAATGGACAGTTATTTGGACTTTCGCTAACTTAAAATACACCTTTAATATAGAACGAATCTTCAGATTTTATTTCATTTTGTTATGGTTTTCTTTTGCTTTTCATTTTCCCTGTTGTGTGCCCAATAATCCACAAGCAAGGCTGGGGTGAGAGAGAAAAAAACTAATATTTATGCATATTTGTTAATGGATTATGTGTTTTTCGTTTGATGAATCTTGGATGTAGAATCGTCTGAGAAAAATGACATGGTACAACTAGAATAAATTTCCAGGTATGTAACGCTCTAGTATATGTTATTTAACTAATAAGGGTGTGCTCGACCTGAAACAAAATATGATTCTATATTTCAAACCATTCTATTAGATCAAACTATTATCAGAAAGATTGCCTTTTGTATGTCTTTAACTTAAGTGGAAAACTACTTTTTGATTTCATTTAAACATTTCAAGATTAACGCCGTCATTTGCACTGCCGATATAACTGTTATATTTGCCACTGGACATATAACAACAGCGAAGGAATTTGATTGTGTTACGCGTTTCTGTTGAAAATTGAATAAAAAATCCCGCCCAATATTTAACACAAGCCTTATTCAAATGTTATCCATACCCTTCAAATTCTATTCAATAGTACCATATTCAAATTATAACAACGAAAAATCAAATAAGATATCGAATACGCCATTTTGACCATTTTAGTTTCTTGAACTATTTATTCTTTTTAACCACAATATTATTGTAGAAACTATCTGAGTAATATTTCTTTTTTTTAATGTACATATAAGAATGGAACAAACGATTTTTGCTGTACAAAATCAAAATACAACACTTTAAATTTCAAGCAAATGATATCTTAAACGGTAAAATTAAAAGCAAATCTGTAAGTGAACTAATTTTTCTTATTGTATAATGTTACTGTGTTCAACATTACGAAAGAATTCAACTGAGTTAACACATTTGATATTTTGTAGATCCACAGAACAGCAGAAGAGGACTGGCACTCAATGGAAAATATTCGTTTTTACCCGCTTGGATACTATCCGTGACAGAAATGTAGCCAAGATGTGCATCGGAAAACAAATTGTGGATTATGTTGTGGAATTTTAGTGAAAACGATACCATATATTATACGATGGAATTACGACTCGCAAATAAAAGCTGTTCATTAATAATGAGATATTTGGTGTTCATTGTATTACTACGAGGTCATCCCAATTTTTAAAAAAATCCATTTAATATCAGCCGTTTAGTAAGTTTTCATCTTCATTCAATATCGCGTTACGTCCTTTAGAACTATTTCCATGGGTGAACACCTTTTAAGAAATTGCCCATGGAAATACCCAAAGGACAAAACGTCCGGATGAATGAAGATGGACAATTGAAAAATAACTCTCCATTCCTCAAAAATAATGGAGTGTTTGAACAAAAAATTTACGTCACAGGTGTATTTTAAGGAGAGAAAAAACTAGTACAACAGATGAATTATACATATATTATTGTCTTGCAATTTCATCATATATCTAATAATGAACTTGGATTAATTATACAGAAGTGATTCAAAGCAGTTACTGGATGGGAGCAACAGATTTCAAGGAGGGTGATTGGAGATAGGTGAATGATTTGTCTAAAGTAAATTATACAGATTGGAACACTGCGTCACATGAACCTACTAATTCCGGCGGCATAGAGGACTGTGCTCATTTATTGCATGGGCAGAACTACAAATGGAATGATGCGCCGTGGAAACAATCAGTTCCGTACATTTGTGAGAGCCATCAGGTATTTATTGTTCATTACAAGACTCTGTCCTTTTTGTGTGGTGAAGAGTTGTCTCATTGGCAATCATACCACATCTCCTTGTTTTTGTCTGCAGTGTTATATTTGATTATGATATTAATTTTATAAGGATACATTCTCATTAAAAGACTACTTTAAAAACAAATGTCTGTACACACATATGTAACTCCAGTTTCGTTAACTCTTTTTATTGGAATACGAACGATTTCTTCGTTAAAATGGTAACATCTATAAACAATGTGTGGTGATATGAATGTTGCATAGCTTAAATCGAGTTCGTTTTTCTACTTTATGCCGATCTGATGAGTTAAGCCCTTTTCAACTGATTTTTATAGTTTGTTCTTATGGTGTTCTGTAACACTACTGTCCCATGTTAGGGGGAGGTTAGAGCACTCACAATCATGTTTAACCGCGCCATATTCTGCATGTGCCTGTCCCACGTCAGGGGCCAGTAATTCACTGGTTGTCGTTGGTTCATATCTGTCATTTTATTTTTCGCAAATTGTTTTGTTGTAAATTAAGCCGTTAGTTTTCTCAGTTGAATTGTTTCAAATCTTTTTTTCATGTCGCGATCGGGGCCTTTTATAGCCAACTATACGGTATATGTTTTTCTCGTTGTTGAAGGCCGTACGATTGCCTATAATTGCTTTCATCCACTTCATTTGAACTTTGCTGGATAGTTGTCTTATTTGCAATCATACCACATCTCCTTATTTTAACGTGTCGTGTTCTATGTTCCCGAAGAGAAATTCGGTTATCCATTTTCCAGTTTTCGAGATCTACAAGGAATTTGTGTTCGATGTTTTGTTTTCAGAAATAATTATTCCTAGTCATGCTCCAGTATGCTCATTTTAACATGGGTAGGCATAATATGTGTAAATATTTTTATACAGATCAAAAGCGAGATGTATAATATTGACAAATTATCATATTACCATGAAGCATGACATGGAAGAATCATTTCTATTCTGAACTTAGATCTTTTCTACTTTCGAATAGGGCGTATATCAAGTTTGAATGCAGTCATTTTGATTTGATGAAAACAATCAGGCGTTTCACGATTTAAATATAAAATACAAATACAAATACAAGATGACTTACGTTTTTAAAGATTTCATTGAATTTTATGACAAGCAGAAATGTTCATTTTATCTCAAGCGTCGTAAGAAAAACAACCAACGTTGCAAATTCGATTATGGCGTCAAGCACTCTCCCGTGTTTTATTGAAAATAAATCATGGCTTTGTTTACTTAACGACAGAAGAGTTTAAGATTAGAATATGAATTAGTTGAAATCTATTTGCACGTTGTTATGTATTTGTTCAATTTCAATGATTGCTACAGTTTAATATCGGAACTTGGACTGTTCTAACTCAATATATCTCAATACCAAATTAATGTTTAGTTCAATTGCGCTTCTTTATGACAGCAGAAACTACTAGTAGTGGGCAAAACATTACTGGAAGCCATCTTAAAAAAACAAAGAAATTGCTAAGTTAGGGAAAAACCAATGCAATATTTCGGAAAATCTAGCATTTAGTCCGTGATTCTAAGGGGATTGTTATGAAATAAAATACGGACGGTCGACCGAACGAACAAACGAACGGATGTATAAAAACAACGAGATATTTAAAGATTTTGACTATACGAAAAGAATTAGCGGTACGAACACCTTTTATAAGGAACTGCACATGCAATAATTAAAACGAAATATAATAGCACCAACACAAAAAGGTGCTGTATACATGATATCTGAGTTATCGATTTTTTTTTTAATTTATTGATTATTCTTGGTGATTTTCATCGTTATTTCAATAAACGAGAAAAACAGGGGAGGGATGAGTGCGTATCCAGCATCACGCTTAAGTTAACAGGTGTGCATATAAGTTAAATGTCGGGAACCTTGAAGTGGTTTTTAGTTTCCTTATTGCCTTTATCATTCAGTGTTGATGCCTGTAATGAATCTATTCGTAACTTTTCTAGACTCTTGATGGTTCTTATCTTTCCTAGCCTGTGATCATTGGTAAGAATACGTTAAAGCATGACATAGGCGCTTGTCCGTCTTTTTTGGTTTGGGGGCTGCAGCATGTCTATCATTACCTTTTATATATAGATTGTTACTTATATGAGGATCGACTTTTACTCGAGTACCGACCGTAGGTTATGCTATTTTCAAGAATCTGTTAATAATTCTCAAGTATTCAGGAAATAGAATAATGCTGCGTGACGGCTAAAAACTTTCAAGTTTGACCGGGTGTTATTAATAACATTATAAAAATGATTGCAAAATTAAATTTAAAAGTATTTTAAGAGTTGTGTTCTAGGTGAAAATATTATTTGCAATTTGTGTTTTTTTTTGTTGGCAAACCTATCTTGCAAATCGACAGATTCTCGGCACAATAAAAATCTGTTGATTCTGTTCGCCGCATTCAATCGCTAAATAATTCATACTAGGACTCTCGGCTTTATGTGTTACTATATCTACATGTAGGAACCTGATTATCTCTACATGCAACAGGCTGGGGATTCCAAACCAAACTTCCAACCTTTCTGTGGTGATTAGTTAATACAATTGTGAAGAAATGTATACATTCTCATTTTGATTGATATCATAGAAACCCCTATGAGTTACTGGGGTATATAAGTAGGAACATCTTGACTTTTCCCATTCGGTAGTAAGACCGGGATGTATAAAAACACAGCCAGGTCCGCTCGGAATTTGGATTTAATTTCGATGCATTGAAATTCTCTCGCTATGTACACGTTAAAATAGAATATTTGCAACAACTCTTCTGTAGACCTGTATAGATGTCCTTATCAACAAACTCTTCCTTTCTCGTGGTGCAGTCCAGATGTTGTCCCTTTGTCCCTTTGTCGTTTTTTTATCTGTTAAACAGAGTCTGTATACAATTTCGGCTATAACACCATAGTTATAAAACTAAAAGTAACATCCCTTATACCATGACAGCTGGCGTTGGTTACGAACAAGGACTTTCGTAGTAAACGTTTACTCATGTTTTTAGTTTTATATTATATGCCATCAAACAACTTTTCTTCTTTTGATAATAAGTGGTCCAAATAAATAAACATCACCATTATATGCCAATGAAATATATAATATCCTCAGTAAAATAATATTTTGCTAGAGAAAATTATTTTACAATCACAAAATGTCTTTCCGGAACATTGTTCGAACTTCGCATTTTTAATATTTACCGATATCACTTTCGTAAAAAACGACTATACGATCACGGCTATGGAAGGGATGTTGATAAAATGAAAAAAAAGATATTTATTCATCCAAAACTAAAATACAATTGATTATTCAGGTTTAAATAATTCATTTTGATTGTATAATAACTAATAATTCAAATTACCTTAATATTTGTTATATAAAATGTGAAACACCAATGATTGAATACACACCCTGAACAATTACAGAATCAATCTATAACAGATGCATACAATTTTAAGTTATATTTCCTTTGTTAACTTGTCGTATGCCTAAATATAGATGCGAACCGTGTGAAACAATCAGTTCCAATTATTAAAGAATAGAACAATACAGATCATAAGATTTCGAATTATATATAATATATATAGCCGTATGTTAGGTGTGTGCATCGAAGTCGATAACTAAGCATCTTTTTGAAAAATGTCACTCGCCTTTTATTATCAGGAGTTTCTGAACAATAATGCCATTTCCTTAAATAGGATCCCCTCACCGATCTGATTACCTCTTTTTCAGTTGATTTTCATAGTTTTTCTATTGATGTATTGCTACACTAATGTCCCAGGTTAATAGGAGATGGATTGAGAGCCTACGAAGAAATGTTTCTCCGATATATTCTGCATGTGCCTCTCCCAAACCAGGAGACTTTTATCCAGTGATTGTCCTTGGATGCTGTCTGTCGTAATGTATTTATTAGGGATGTCAACGAGTACTCGAGTATTCGAGTATCGCTTGGTAGTACAAAATGTACCGAGTATCGAATACCAAAACGATACTCGACTAATCGGTTTCCTGTTATAATATTGCTGTCATCTTTATATAAAATTGATCTTCTTGAGAATCTCTTTCGGAAAATTAAATAGACATCACTGGTTAATCATACTAGTAAATAAGATACATTTTGTTTCGAATTCTTGTACTACTAGGGCAAAAATGCCACACATGTGTCACGCATGTACCTAAAAACACATGTGTCACAGGTGTGTCACATGCGTAATACACATGTTTCTTGCCACGCATGTGAATCATGCGTGGTACACATGCATTCACATGCGTAATACATGCATGTGAATCGCATGTGTCTGAAAAACACCTGTGTCACGCATGTGTTGGAAAACGCATGTGACACATGTGATATTTGCATGTGTAACACATGTATAGTCAAACGCATGTGTAACGCATGTGTTACACAGGAAAATTTTGTTGATGTGAATTTAAGTTAAATTTTTCTCATGAATTTTACGTTAAATTTTTCATGTGAAATTCACATGAAAAAAAGTTAATTGTGTCCAAGTTGAAAAAAATTTACATCAAAATTAAAACTTGTTTATTAACATCTAATACCTTGTAAGACATATATTCCATTGAAAATCTTATTTTACTTTTAATAAAAAAAATTATTTTCACATGAAACCCCCCTTTTTTTGAATGAACAATGCATTTAAATGGGGAAACATAATTGGAACCCCCTTTTATCCTGTGTTGGGACCCTCCCCCTTTTAAAAATGGCTGGATCAGCCCCTGATTATCCTTAATTGTCACCATAATAAATGGTATTTTATCCAATCAGCTTAGGAAAATAATCGCAGTAAAAAAAGGCAAAGTAAATAAAATTGCAATAATTGTCAGATATGGGTCCAGGATCCTTAAAAAAAAGTGAGACTAGACTTGTAAAAAGTCTCTCTCTATATATAATTCCTAAAGGGAGTAGGCCAGGGGATTCTGTGAATCACCCCGGCCTTCCCCCATAAAATGTTCTTCTTATTTGAACAATTAAAAGTTTAATCTTTAAACATTTATTTTAATTAAGATTTTCATTGGTATTTCTTTTAATACATATACACAGGTAAAAGAAGTATGCATTTATATTGGGAGAATTTGGTGTTAATTGCAGATCTTTTGATCTTCAACACTTTGAAAAAAAATGATTTAGAACTTGGAATATCTAGATTTGTTGTGTTGTGTTTTTGTTATTATTGTTTGAATAACTTTCTCAAAGGTGTGTTACAATAACCTTACATCTCTTTTTATTCCTATATATCTGCCAACTATCTTGGACAAAAGACAGACAGATACACCCAGTAGATATTCATACAGTTATGGAACTAAATTATAAATTTGCATATTTTATTTAGTATTTTCTTATTTGTAACTAACAATATAATACACATGAGTATATAGAAAGTACTTGAAAAGTTTCAGAGTGTTTGGGGTAGTCTGTCCTGTTCAATACGGCTCATAAGATAAAGGGGAAAGCAACACTATTATCGTGTTTAAATCACGACAAACAATAGTCACTACATACTTTCGTCCCTTTAATTTTTAGGCTTATACAATGTACAGAATAATATACCATTATAACTTGATCATACGTTTCTTCATCTTTGGTGTGGAATAAAAGCAAAGGATATAATTACCTGCTTATATTTTACTTGTGTTTCAAGCAAGCATTTGGTGGGTTGAGAGGGGTTTACTGTAACGGCGGTTATAAACTTACATAGGCGGATCCAGGGTGGGGGGCCCGGGCCCCCCTTTCGTGTGAAAAAATTTGGTTGATTATATAGGGAATCACTGAAGCATGACTGGAGCGCCCCCCCCCCCTTAGGTCAGTCAGCGGGCCCCCCTTATGAAAAGTTCTGGATCCGCCACTGACTTACCACCACCCACGTTCCACCACATCAGTGTCCTGCAGGCACTTGCCCGCAGGTGGTGTCAAAAGTTACATGTGCTTGTGTTTTTTCAAAGTTCATAAAATGTGGAACAAATGTCCTCAATTTCTCTATTCTATTTAAAAGGGGAACATAAATATCAGTGATCAGTGTTGGAGCTGGGACTATTGTATAATAGTCTCCATAATAGTCCCAGGTTGGAGGCATTAATGTCATTAATACCATTGTGAGGGTACTACTGGAAAGAAGTTGTTTAAGAATAGATCAACCCAGGATTTGTTTATTGGATCAACGGTGATAACATTTTAAAACTGTGATACCCAAACAACCTTGGTATGAAATACTGTCAAAATTCCCAGTAACCGTTGGGCTTAACATTACATAAAAACTATAAAGATTGTGCCATTGACGGATCCAGAAATTTTCATAAGGGGGCCCACTGACTGCTAAACAGGGGGCCTCCCTAGTCATGCATCAGTGATTCCCGATATAATAGATCAAATTTTTGCCACAAAAAGGGAAGAGGCAGGGTGCTCTAAATCCGCCTTTATGTGGAACACGAACCTCCAAAATACATGGGTGAACTCAAGTATTGTGAATGATAAAGTTAGGAACTTTCTGCTCAACATGTGGCAACCTAGGTTTGAGTATACATGTAATTGCCAACTTGAAATTAAGTAAGTAAATCTTTGATTTGATTCGCCATATTGGCAAACATGCGAAGATAAGATCTGGTGAGCTTTTCGTCGAATATCATGAGGAGATAGTGTTAAAAATATTTGCATAGTTCATGAGTTGAAAATTATAAAACAAAATATATTGTTTAACCTTGGACAAAAAGATCAAGTCCAAAACTGGCTGTTATTTGTGTAGGCTACCTTAATCTTGAAGAGTATGCAATTCTAAATCAAGGAGGCGGTAGGCAATTTCCTAATAATATTACAAAAGAACTTGTCACAGATTCTTAACTAAACGTCTATCAGATTAGTAAAATTTCTAATTCACTGACATCTGTTGGACATAGATACTCAAATTGCAGAATCTTATTAGTAATAAAAAAAAAATCTGTTTTTTCTGTGACATCGCTTTGAAAAATATATGTTTATATTTTATTTATTACACTCTGACTGTCTAACATTTAATTCTCCTCTGATTAGAATTTAGAGTAATTATCGTTTGTCAATTTTCCAAACTTCCCATGCCCCCCTCAGCAGAGTTATTTAATTCTGAATGGAACAAAATGTGAATGAGTTATAAATAATATATAAATGATTGAATATTCTTTATTTAGTTTTTTTTTATTCTCAATTCTTCCAGAGACATGTATATGCTCTGAGAATAATGTCTTTGCATGATTCTTCATAATTAAGTATACTCAATTATTCTCTATGATCCTTCTTTCTATATTTTTGCTTTTCAACTATCTATATGTAGGACTCTAAAGTGCGATGGTCACGCTAAAGTGCGATGGTCTACGCTAAAGTACGATGGCGTCACACGCTAAAGTGCGATGGTTGTTTGTTTGCTAAATTAGGATGGTATATCACGCTAAAGTGCAATGGACCAATAGGGTAAGGTTAGAGGGCTTAAAACGTTAAAGTACATGGATGTTATCAAATAGTCTTTTTGCAAAAGCTAGTATGCTAAGGTATATTAAATATATGTGATAGGCTTTATAATTTACCGGTAGGCTTAAATGATTGCTCCTAAATTTAGAAGAACGACCACGTAATAATTGCTAAAAGGTAATTTTGGTGTCACAAAATACTATATTTCCTGTAAAATTAATTTTTAACAATTCGGGCGTATTAAATATTTGGATAATTGGTGTAGCTTGCCGTTCACAGTCTATCACTAATGTGAATACCTCCCCTTACAGTCGTCATTGTCATTGTAAATTACAAATACAAAATTCGTTCATTGTCGGAACATGTAACATTTATTTGTATAAGTTTTAATTTAAATGCGAGAGAAAGGCGATGTTCGCCGAGCTTTCTCCTTTTTCGTAGCGAGCACAAATACATGTTATATTTTCCTACAATGTACAAACTAATGTTTTAGCCGACAGTTTATAATTTACGCTTAAAAACATGTACCTTTATTTTGCTGACGTTACTTTTCAATAAAATCGGCAATATTTTAACGGGGATCGCAAAGTAAACTGCAACGTAAACAATGATTTAAATGTATCCGTTTGCTTCAAATAGAAGCAGGATACAGGATACTTATGCCTATACTATTTTGTATCTATAAAGTAAAATGGTCGACTGCAGGATACATGTCCTTCTTCCAGCACCCCCGAAAAAAAAACACGTTTGCTTCAGCCGACAAAGCATGGTTAGGTTTAAACTAGTTAATTCATGGACATTTGGTTTAAAAGTTGTTAATCAAATATTCTTAATTTATCTTTCAGTATTTACATTTGGTTTGTATAAACGACTGTTAACGTCATAATCCAACTACGTTTCTTACGTCTATACTTTCGCGGAACATCAGACTTTAGCGTATGGAGGCATCGCACTTCAGCGCAGACCATCGCACTTTAGCGTGACCATCGTACTTTAGCGTCCCCTTCGCACTTTAGAGTCCTACATATATAATTTTTTTGTGTCCTTATTTAAATCCCCATTCTTGATTCCAGACTAACTCTCATATATATATACGTAAATGTACGAAAGCTTGGCACGTCGAATACGGAAACCCGGAAATCTTTTCACCGTTGTCGTTTTTATACTATGACGCAAAATCCATGGACGCTCGTCTGCTGCTGAATTCATGTTTTAAAAGAATGGACAAAGATAGTCAGATAGTTGATACAAAGACCTTTGATTTTTCAAACTGATGGATCAAAAATTTATTATAAACAGATATATTGAAATGGGTTAGTAACTTACATTGTCGATTAACTGAATCCGGGGAACGAAAGTCAACGCAACGAAAGTGTTTCGTTTTGATGGATTACGTACCAACTTAATTTATTGTACTTGGAAAGCGCAATGAAATGTAAATATAATCATGCGCATTTTTAGGAAGATGCTAGTGCTATACTTTTCACGAAAAACCATTTGACTTTATCCATGTCTGATTGTCATGCATGTATAAACCCGAAAATCAGTCAATATTGGCAAAAACGGAAGCAAGTCAACTCGCCCCATTGCAATTGGCAAAACGCCCCATTATTTTAAAATCGCTCCACTCTTGTTTAGGGAGCTACCATTTGATTTTTATGGGAGAGGGGGCTTTGACGGAATTTGAAAAAATGCGGGACAGGAGTTTTGAGTAAAAAAATAAAAGCCAGGACCGAAAAGAATGAATAATAAACTGTCAGGACAGATATTACAACTAAAAACAATGCAGGATAACTGTTCATAACATTTTCATCCTAGCCCCCCCACCAAATCAAGTGGTAGCTCCCTTCATACCAACTTGCTTGCCCCACATTAAAAAAAAATCGCCCCACTTGTGAAAAGGATTAAATCCTGTTAAATATACAATGTACTCCTGCCAACAGTGGCAACTTGCCTAACTTGGGTAAAATCCAAATGAATATAATCATGATAATATATAATAAATATATTATAAACAGATAAAGGTCTACCAACTCGCCCTACATGTACTTTAAAAAAATGAAAACTTATCTACCCAGAATTAAAAAAAAAAATGAAATTTAATATATGATATTTATTGAATTTAAATGATGTTTCACTTCTTAAAATATAATTGTAGATTCATTATTTACTATTATTTAATTTATGTATTTATTGGAAAATAACTTTATTCTTGCATTAGCTTAGTTATTTGCAAAATAATTGCAAAGAAACCTGTTAATTGTATCATAATCTATCTGATTGTTTTTTAGCCGACTCAAAATCATGCTGTTAATTAGTGCCTCCTGTTGTACATGTACTTAGGAATCGGACACCTCCAGAAGATGAAAGATCTACTTTACATGTACGTAATGTAAATATAAAAATAAGAAAATGTGGTATGATTGCCAATGAGAAAAGAGTGGAATTGGTAAAAGTCCGTGAAAATTCACTTGTTTTCCAATCCTAATAAAACTGTCATATTGTAATGTTTAAATAACCTAATTATTTTCAAAATAAAATCTTGTTTACACCAATGAGAAAAGACAACTCTCCATCAGAGATCAAATGACATCAAAGTTAACAACTAGAGGTCACTGTACATCCTTCAACAATGAGCAAACCCCATACCATATAGTCAGCTATAAAAGACCCCAAATGAAAATGACAAATTTGTAAAATAATTCAAACAAGAAAACTAGCAGACTAATTTATATACAAAACAAAGAACAAAAAAAACAAAATATGATACACAGCAACAAATGACAAACTGAACCACTGAATTACAGGCTCCTGACATGGGACAGGCACATACATACAAATATGTACAGGATGGGGTGGGGCTAGACTAGTAGTTTGTGGTGCCGAACCCACCTCCTAACCTGGTATATTGATGTGAAAAGGGCTTAACTCGTCAGATCTATACAAAGTAGAAAGACATCTAACAAAACCACACACAAGACGTGGTGGGTACTTACACATCCCCACAACAAAAAAGACCCAAGTTCAGATCTGAGAGTACCCCCAGTTACTAACACCTAGTTCAAAGCCAAAAACAAAGTACATTGTACATGTACAATGTATTTACCACCAAACCTTGCCTGGTTTAGTCCATTTCTCAGATACTACCTTATATAAAATAGTCCAACTTTTGGTGTAATTTAAACAACTTTGAATGACTTAAAATTTCAAAGTATCATGATTATTAATAACTTAATCCCCAAAGATTGGCATTATAAATCATGACAGATTCAGAGATCCTGTAATATATACTGTACATGTAATCACTTTTGTTCATCCCTTCATTCAAGGGTCATATGGAATTTATATGATGGATTAGCACATTAATAAAATGATTAAATACTTTTTTGTAGTCATTTTTTTTTCGGGGAAAGTTTGTTGGTCTAGTTTTAAAAGATTAAAGCAAGCCAATTTTGCCAGATCAAAATATTAAAGGCAATTTTGGCAGATACATTGTATTATAACTTCATTTTATTAAACATTATTTATTTTTAGCTTTTTCAACGAAAGTACAATTACTTTGAGAAGTAGGAGAAGCTAAGCAACAGGACAGAATTCATTTGAGGCATTGCTTTCTAGATTATATAGTGGAGTCATAGATTGTCCTATTGATTTATGTGGATATGAGGAGCAGTAGTCAATGAATAATTTTGTGATGAGAGGTATGTAATGAAAATGATAACTATGTTTGAATAATTTTTTCTTGTCAGGCTCTGTACATGCTGTTTCGAAGATTTTTTTAAAAGTTTGAGGTCAAAGAGTTTAAAGTTTGATTCTTGTAATGTTGTGGGCAAGTTCGAAAATTATCCATGTTAGAAGTGACAAATTTATTTTTTTTACAGGTCATTTTTATAGAAAATTGCATTCAAAGCTCTCTTAATCGCTTGTTCTTTTTTGTCTAGCCACAACAGTTATGAAGCTGTGACTTAGGCATGCTGTTTTCAATAGAGGCATAGTCGTAAAAAAATTGTTGATATTCATGATGAGGTCAGTTTAAGGAAACCAAGAAATAAAACCTTTGCACCTTTTGTTGGCGGTATACCATCTTTTCCGCAAGTTCATTGTTTTCTGTTTAGTATTAAATTTATAATTAAGATTTATTATTACATCGGTGATCCGTTTATTTGGCAATTTATACAGGAATAATGTCACTTTGAAATGTATGAGTTAGAAGGTAAGTGCTATTAAAATTTAGGTTTACAGAAGTTATTCCGTGGAAATATATATTGTTTAATGTAATGAAAATTGCATTGCAAGCAATCCCAAACAGGTCTACATTTCTTTTAGATTATTTATGAAAATGTTTAAAAGAACAACCATATTGTATACTACAGCAAAAAAATTTTGAGGTCGTATATTGCTATCAACTCGTTCGAAGACATTTGGTTTCCGGACAATAACTTCAGTTTAAGTGTATGAATGTCTATGAAATTAGATTTAAAGGTTCAATACCACAAAAGGAAGGTTGGGATTATTTTTGGCGTCATGGTTCAACCAGTGTAGGAATTAGGGACCAAAAAAGGCCCAAATCAAGCATTTTTCTAAATTCAGGACAATAACTTGATTATAAGTATTTTTATTGCTATGAAATTGTACCACAAGTAGAAGGTTAAGTTTCATTGTCGAGCCTTCGACTTTAGTCGAAAAAGCGAGACATAGCGATCCTACATTCCGTCGTCGTCGTCGGCGGCGTCCACAAATATTCACTCTGTGGTTAAAGTTTTTGAAATTTTAATAACTTTCTTAAACTATCCTGGATTTCTACCAAACTTGGACAAAAGCTTGTTTATGATCATAAGATAGTATCCAGAAGTAAATTTTGTAAAAATAAAATTCCTGTTTTTCCGTATTATACTTGTAAATGGACTTAGTTTTTTTCTGCCAGGAAACATTACATTCACTCTGTGGTTAAAGTTTTTAAAATTTTATCAACTTTCTTAAATTATCCTGGATTTGTACCAAACTTGGACAGAAGCTTGTTTATGATCATAAGATAGTATCCAGAAGTAAATTTGTTAAAAAAAAAATTTCATTTTTTCCGTATTTTACTTATAAATGGACTTAGTTTTTCTGCCAGGAAACAATACATTCACTCTGTGGTTAAAGTTTTTAAAATTTTAATAACTTTCTTAAACTATCCTGGATTTGTACCAAACTTGGACAGAAGCTTGTTTATGATCATAAGATAGTATCCAGAAGTAAATTTGTTAAAAAAAAAATTTCATTTTTTCTGTATTTTACTTATAATTGGACTAAGTTTTTCTGCCAGGAAACAATATTTTCACTCTGGTTAAAGTTTTTAAAATTTTAATAACTTTCTTAAACTATCCTGGATTTGTACCATATTTGGACAGAAGCTTGTTTATGATCAAAAGCTAGTATCTAGAAGTTAAAATTTGTACCTGTTTATCCGTATTTTACTTATAAATGGACTTAGTTTTTCTTCCAGTTAACATTAAATACAGTCTGCAGTTAAAGTTTTTAAAACATTTATTAGATTCATAAACTATCCTGGATTTATACCAAACTTTGGCAGAAGCTTCTTACAATCAAAAGATAGTATCTAAAGGAGTAATTTTTATTGATTTTTTTTCCTCATTTTTGTTGAGCCTGCGATTAACAGCAAAAGTAGGCGAGACACTGGGTTCCGCGGAACCCTTACAAATTTTTTGGGGGTATTTGCCCAAACCATTCAGGAATTAGAGACCAAAAAGGGTCTAAAACAAGCATTGTCAGACTGGCATATATTATTAATTGATCATGATAAGTTATTCTCGTTTAGAATACATAAAATATTTGCCTCTGGACATTAAAATAAGAAAAAAAGTCAATCAATTTATGTTTTTGCATTATCAGAATGAATTTGCAAATATATAACAAATAAATTATGTTGTATCCTTGGAGCTGTTTCAATGACCTAGCATATAAATATAAAAAGATGAGGTATGATCCTCAATGTGACAACTATCAATTAATAGACCAAAGGACAAAGATGTAAACATTTACTGGTCAATGTACAGCCTTAAACAATGAACAAAATCAATACCATAAAGTAACCTACAAGGATGAAAAATATAAACTACATACAGTAATGGCAGACAGCAAACAACATAAGAACCAACTTTCAAAATTAGCCAAAAAGGACTGGATTCATCAATAGGGCTTATAATAAAAAAGGTGCAAAAAACATGTTTTCCCAAACTAAAATATCTATCAGTTTACATTCAACAGATTTAGTGTAACAATGTTTCACAGTTTGTCATTTTATGCAGTCTTAAGAAAAGTATGACTGTGTAATGTCAAAATATTCAATATATCAAAAGGGTATAAAACCTATTTCTCAATGCAAGTATGCAAGGATGTACAGACAGACAAGTGTAAAACTTGATGCCCCCTCCGTTACGACAAGGGCATAAAAAAGAGATGCACAATAGGACTATGTCGGAAGTTTTAATAAATTATGAATTACATGTTTATGCAGAAAAAACACATACAAATGTGTGTTCTTGTGTGCAGATATAACTAATTCCATGTCAAAATTCCATGTATGTTCGACAAAGTTGTTGATATCCAAAAAACATTAAAAAACTTTAAATGGGGATTTTCCAGTTTTGGGACAATAACTCAAAATGTGTTCACCAAATGGCAAGAAACTTTTGTGACTTGTGTGTATCTATTGACATGAGCTCCCTTTCGATTTTTATAAATTTAAGATTTTATGTTTCCAAGTTGTTGGGTTATATTCATTTAAAAAAGGGAGATTTTCCAGTTTTCAGACAATAACTCAAAAATGCTTACAGCAGTTTTCATAAAACTTTGGTGAATTGTTTATATTTATTGTCATAAGCTCCCTTTTGGTTTTTATTAATTTTAGATTTTATGTTTCAGAGTTATGTGATTTTATTCATAAAAAAGGGGGATTTTCATATTTCAGACAATGCTTTGAGCAGTTATCATGAAACTTTGGTGACTGGTTTATATCTATTAAGATAACCTCCCTTTAGTTTTTCATGAATGTCTGATTATGACATTGAAAAGTTATTGAACTTTATTCTTTGAATAAGCGATTGGTGTATCATGTGCTCATGGTGCAGCTGTCTATTTATTTTGGGCCAGGTTTTCAAATTGGTCTACATGCAGGGGTTAACATTTGCATTAAAAAATGAAAGGTCCTGGACTATTTGAAATTTTCAGTCCAGTGAAAGGTCCTCCATTTTTTTTGTCAACATTGAAACCATTCTGAAGCGTACGAAAGGTAAAAATAAAATGTACTTCTAGAATTTTATGTTTGACATCATGAGTACGCATATGACGTCACATTGTTTAGTTGCTAAAGACAATGCAAAATATTTGTTAAATGGTATTTATTTTAATATGCTGCATTAGAAAGTAGATAACTGTATTGTATTTTAAGCTTGGCCTTCATTAAACTTGATTTTACCATAGGCGGATCCAGGGGGGGGGGGGGGGGGGGAGGGGGGCCCTTTTGTGGTAAAAATTTGGTTGATTATATAGGGAATCACTGAAGCATGACTGGAGTGGGCCCCCCCTTTAGTTATAAAAAGTTCTGGATCCGCCACTGTTTACTGTCACATCACTAGGTAAATACAGAATTCTCCTAAATGGATAAGCTAATTGTTTGCAAAACTCTTTGAATACTTATTATAGTCTTGCATCCACATGCTATTAATAAAGTACTGTTTTCTCCCTTTCAGCTGTACATTGTATTACAACAAATGGACAGAGGAGTTGACTATTGATAGTGACTGATAATGGACTGGAGTAACCTAGGGTCCAATGACTCCATGCCTGACAGTCCATGTGTACATGTATGTCAACAGCCAATTCTAAGTAACCTTAAACATATATATACAAAAGACCTAAAATAATAGTATGTGCATCTATGGGAGACTTATATGTCACTGTTATCACACAGTGTTGTGTGGCTTCATTACTGATTAGAGACTAATCAGATTATCCTTTACTTTAAGTTCAAATATAATGTACATGTACTCAATAATTATGACTTGCCTTCATTAACTTGTAATAATTATGATGCAGGATCCAACAAAAGTATTTTTTTTTTACCTACATTTTATGCATCAGTCTCGCTGATTTTTTAAGTACCTTGTAAATGTATATGGATATATGTATGAATTTAGTTGTAATACTTAGTTTTGAGCCTTGCACATATATACATCATTGTACATTGTCATAGAAGTTAAAATAACTTTGATCGCTGTCAGACAATGACAGAGTGTTTTGAAAATTGCTTCATAATGTTGATCAGATTACCTTATTTAATTAATAAAATGTTATTGTCACAGATTGAAATTTTTAGTATTTTATAAATAAGGTCTTACAATGTATGGTAGGATTGTCAATGAGAAAACATTCCATTAGTCAAAGAGGATGTAAAAAAATTTAGGTCACTGTATGACTTTCAACAATGAACAAAACCATACTACCGTAAAAGCAGAAATTTTCGTGGAGGATTTAATTTCGTTTATTTCGTGGAAAGAATATATCCACGAAATTAAAACCCCCACGAAAATTTAACCTACATATAATATCACTTCCATTTACTGGAAACCACGAAATTAAATCCCCATGAAATCTTGTAAAGAGACAAAACCACGAAATTTTAACCCCACGAAAATTAATGTTTCTACAGTATATAGTCAGCTGTAAAAGATCCTGACAAAGTGAGCAACAATCCAATCCAGAAAACTAGTGATGTTCCAATTACCATTTGCAGTATTGGTTATAATATAAAAATATCACTTGTTTTCTCTCTCTTTGCCAAGGGATAACTGTATTCCTAATTTATTCTTATTGGAAAGCAGACTGCATCAGGTTAAGATTGTATATGATAATCACAGGAATTTTAATTTTCAGAATTAGCTCCTCAGATGTAAGTGGAAGGGAAGCTATATACATTATATGTTTAAATGAAATTAACAACAGGATTAGATATTGAGGAGATCCTATAGCTACAGTATATATAAATGTAACTGGTATGTATTTGTTACAGTATTTAATTTCCAAATGGTATAACAAAAATACTGAATTCCAAGGCAATTTCAAAAAAATCGTAAGGGTTCCGCAGAACCCAGTGTCTCGCCTACTTTTGCTGTTAATTGCATCATTTTCTCATCACTTGGCGTCCGTCGTCGTCCGTTAACTTTTACAAAAATCTTCTCTGAAACTATTGGGCCAAATAAAACCAAACTTGGCCTAAATCATCCTTAGGGTATCTAGTTTAAAAAATGTATCCGTTGACCCTGGCCATCAACCAAGATGGCCAATATTGCTAAAAATAGAACATGGGGGTAAAATGCAGTTTTTGGCTTCTATCTTTGAAACCAAAGCATTTAGAGCAAATCTGACATGGGGTAAAAATGTTCATCAGGTGAATATCTATATCTGTTGAATTTTCAGACGCATCAGACAACCCGTTATTGGGTTGCTGCCCCTGAATTGGTAATTTTAAGAATTTTTTTTTCAATTTTTATACGACCACAAAAAATTATTGGTATCGCGTTGTTGTCGTCGTCGTCCAAAGACACTTGGTTTCCGGACAATAACTTTAGTATTAGTGAATAGAAATCTATGAAATTTAAACATAAGGTTTATAACCACAAAAGGAAGGTTGGGATTGATTTTGGGGGTTATGGTCCCAACAGTTTAGGAATTAGGGGCCCAAATAAGCATTTTTCTAGTTTCATGACAATAACTTGTGGAACAGTGTATGGATCTCTCTGAAATTATACTACAAGTTTCCATACCACAAAGGGATGGTTAGGATTGGCTTTGGGGGGTTATGGCTCAAACCATTTAGGAATTGGGGGAAAAAAAGTGAGAAAAAACAAGGGTGTCCTGGTTAATGGACAATTACTTAAGTACAAATTACAGTGTAAGGGAGGTAATTCAAATACATCTTGGAAATTTGAATTGAAATTATGACCATAACTGAGGGAAAGATTTTTTTTTTTGGAAAAAGGGGGGGGGGGGGACAATTTTTTTCTCCTCAAGATTTCAGAAATCAAAATCAAAAAGAAAATCCTTCAAATTTTTTTTTTTTTTTAAAAAGGGGATGGAGGTCAATTCGCAACAGCATAGTGTATTACACAAAAGCAAAATTTTGAATATAAATTCAAATCATATAACCAATTCTAAGTTCTTTGACTACAGTTATTCTGTGTCAGAAACCTATTATGTGTCAAATATTGAATTGCAATCCAAATTCAGACCTGTATCAAGCGCGAATATTGTGTCCATATTTGCCCCAACTGTTCAGGGTTGGACCTCTGTGGTCATATCCAGCTGCGCTCGGCAAAGCAATTTATTGGTTATTATCTTGAACATTATAATAGAGATAAACTGTAAACAGCAATAATGTTCAGCAAAATAAGATTCACAAATAAGTCAACAGGATCAAAATGGTCAATTGACCCCATAAGGAGTTATTGCACTTTAAAGTCAAATTTAACAATTTTTTCATAAATTTTTGTAATCTTTTACAAAAGTCTTTTCCTGAAACAACTGAGACAAATTTAACCAAACTTGGCCATAATAAGCATTAGGGTATCTAGTTTAAAAATAGAACATAGGGGGGAAAATGCAGTTTTTGACTTATATCTTTGAAACTAAAGCAAAAGTATATCGGTTGCAATATTTCATGCATCGATTGTAAAATAAAAAAATATCAGGTGAGCGACACAGGCTCCTTGGAGCTTTTAGTTGGTATTGTAATTTAAATGAGGTTAAGACGTGTAAGAAAGGGGCTTGAAAAATGAGGAATTGTGTTTCTACAAGCACTTAGTAATCTAGATCTATAATACTAAAATAACAAGGTCCAATTTGTGAGCCGGCATGACATAAAAATGACGATTCAAAGAATTCAACTTTATTTATAACTTATATATATAGGACAATGGTGTTGATTAAAAATTACACCATTCCAGGCCCATTTGTTTTCCACATAATTATTACTACAGATAATTAACAAGTTCTGGGTCGAAGGGTTCAAAAAGAAAGATTTTGAAAGCAGAGAAAACTGTGCACCTAATGACCAGCATGACATTATTAGATGACAAAACGAAAAATCTTAAAATTCAGGCTAAAAATAAGGCTAAGGTACTTTGCTTCAGTCACAACACCATGATGTCCCGGAGTATTCTAGTATATATTATATATACAGGTAATGTGTAGTACACATGCATGAATAGAGTTAGTTTTCATTATTACGGTAATTTATGTTGATAAAAATGAGAATATGTAGTATTATTGCCAATGAGACAACTATCCACCAGAGTCCAAATGACTGAATGTTAGCAACTATAGATCACTGTATGAACAGCTTTCAACAATGAGCAAAACTGATACTGCATCTAGCAAGCTATAAAAGGTCCTGAAATTACAGATGTAATACAATTCCAATTTACGTAAAAGACATTAAACGAAAAATAAATATGATAAACAACAACTATTATATTCCATTCCAGTTGTTCACACGATATATATATATATATATGTAAGTTTGGTAAATCATTGGAGATTAAATTGATGTTATCATTTTTTGCCTGATTGGTAATCCAATATTTGATGTATGTTTTACAAAAAATATATGCTGTTTTTGTCTCGCTTGACGGAGTCAAAAAGCGAGGCATAGGTATGCTGTTTCTGGCGTTGGTGACAACAGCGGCGTCAACAATGTATTAGTTTGTGATTAGGTCTAGTTTATAGTGAACCACAAGTAGTAAGTCGAAGATATTTGGTATGCAGTTGTATTAGTATTGGCACATCTCATTTCCATGGAGATTATTTGGCCCCACCCCCTCAGTTATGGTTTATTGACTTAATTTGAAATTCTTGCTTAGTCTTCATGTATTAGTTTGTGATTAGGTCAGTTTATGGAGAACCACTAGTGGTAAGTTAATTATGATTGGTATGCAGTTGTATAAGCATTGGCATATCTCATTTCCATGGAGATTATTTGGCCCCACCCTCTCAGTCATGGTCTATTGACTTTTAAATTTTTGCTTAGTTTTCATGTATTAGTTTGTGACTAGGTCAGTTAATGGGGAACCACTAGTGGTAAGTTCATGATAATTGGTATGCAGTTAAATACGCATTGGCATATCTCATTTCCAGAGATTATTTGGCCCTGCCCCCTCAGTCATGGTCTATTGACTTTGAAACTTTTGCTTAGTTTTCATGTATTAGTTTGTGATTAGGTCGACTTATGGGAAACCACTAGTGGTAAGTCAATGATATTTGGTATGCAGTTGTATTAGCATTGGCACATATCTCATTACCATGGAGATTATTTCCCCCCCCCCCTCAGTTATCGTTTATTGACTTTAAAATTTTCTTAGTTTACATGTATTAGTTTGTGTTTAGGTTTTTTAAAGGGAACTACTTATGATAAGTCAATGGTATTTGGTATGCGTTGTATTAGCATTGGCACATCTAATTTCCATGGAGATTGTTTAGCCATGTACCTTTAGTCATGGTTCATTGACTTTGAATATTTGCAAATCTTACATGTTAAAGTGTTGCTATTTTAATTTCAACATTTGCATTATCGAAATTACTAAAAAGCGAGACATATCTCTGTGATTACAGTTTATTTTTTTTATTACAGCAACAGTATTCCAAGAGTCTGATGGCTGATAATGTATTACAGGATTTTATCATTCAAGCAACATCTAAGAAGGATAAGTGCAAATGTATGAAGGAAGCCTTGGGTACAAATAGCAATTACAGCAATTACATGCAGGAGAGATCTCTTAATATTACTAACAGACATGTAGTCATTATATGGGAGTGGTGTATTCAAGAAATCTAAAACACATGGAATTAAATATCGTGTATATTTTTTCAACCACAAGTACTCTCAGAATATAATACAATTCAAATTCAAATTATTGTGCCAACATGACAATTACAGTCTAAAAATGGAAAATGCGTGTTTTAAACTGATTTTTATATAAATATTTGAAATAACAAGAATTTTTAGTTTATTGTGCAGCCAAACTTTGAGATCTTCTAATGGGATATGCCTGTTGTTTGTCAACATTTGTTTTCTTTTTGCCTTAACCTTAAGATTGGTGTTAAAATGAAAAATTGAAATAGATATATGAAATAAGAAGGAAATGGTTGTAAATAACAGCAAGACTTTCAATATGGTATATCAAAATATATTTCACAGAACTTTCTATTTCAGTTTATTAATACAATGAGATATGAGGTATAAATAAATCAGACAGCTACACAACAAAAACACATGAAAGGCATTAAGGTGCTAACATACAGTCCTCAACAATGAACAGGTGTCTAAACAATGTCATGATCTACTTAATTAACCAGAGTCTATACCAATCAAAGAGCTGCCATCAACACCAAATTCTTTAAATATTTTTTTTTATTAGGATGAGACTTAGACAACCACTGAAAAGGTTCCTGGCTTGAAACAGGCACAGGAATATGTGGCAGGGTGAAATACTTTTTTTCTTCAAAACTTTCAAAAGAAAAATTGGCATCTTTTGCAAGTAAGACTATTTCCATAATGGGATTGGATTGTCTCATGGCTGATAACCACAAAATGACTTACATATTAAAAATGAAATATACATTAGTGCATACATATTCTATAAATGAATCACCAATCCTTACATTACTTTTAAAAAAAGTATTGAGACTTGAACATAACCGAAAAAATTCTAGGAGTGAACTAAGGTGACCTGGATATTTGCTTGCCTTCTTTGTTTTATTGCATCTTATCTCTTGCATTGGAGATATTGTGAGTTGGGAGTTGATAGATAAATATTTTTTGTATTGTTTAGGATCAAGAAAGTAAAATATAATGGAAGTATGAACACATAGTCAAGACCAAGAAGAATATTTATATATCAAAATAGAATGTGTACTAGATTAGCATTAACTTATCTAAAATATGCTCAAATACTGTGAATTTGTGTGATTGATGCTCAATTCACCTTAATTTCATTTTGCCTGTGTATATATAGAGAAAACACATGTATAACGCATGTGTTAGAAATTGCATGTAATTCACATGAGAACTGAGAAACATGTCAACAATCATGGTAATTGGACAAATAGGAGGACATTTTGAAAAATATTTAATACAGGCACCATGCCTTTTACATGTAGTAATCACGCATGTATCACAGGTGTATTTCCTTACGCATGTGATTCACATGTGAAACGCATGATCACATGTGTGTATCATGCGTATCACATGTGTTTTTCACACATGTGTCACATGCGTTGCATGAAACGTCTCTTTCACATGCGTGTGACACGCATGTGAAACGCATGTGTCACGCATGTACACATGTGTGGCATTTTTGCCAGTGTAAATTGTCAATAAAATGCCTCCGAAAATACGTGGCCTATGCCTAGGCTAACACTTTAAACAAAACTTGTCTAAGCCATTCCGTCATATCGGTACCGTCAGAGCAAATATTTTCGTCTTCAAGACTGTGTTAGTTACAAAATTGCAAAACCGACTGTCCCCAATAATAGTTGACAAGAAAATGTTTCCAAATAAAATGAATTCTTTCCATCCACTGGTGACCCTCAGTGAAAAGTTAAACTTCTAATCATTACGCATTTGTAAACATTAAATGTGTTTTCTTAATAATTACCAAATACTATTGTTTGATATGGTTTTTCCTTGTTGCAATTTTTAAATAGGTGTTCATTAAATCATTTTGATTAGATTATTGTTTTTTTACTTAATTAGTACTTGTAGGTAATGAGCTATTAATTTTGGTGTGTTATTCCTTGTACCAGATATTTATAATGTAAATGGATTTTTGTCCGTTAAACAACAAACCACAGAATGTAAAATACGTATTTTGGTTTCCGTGTTGTAGATATATTCCCAAGCGAGTACTCAAGTATTGCTCGATAAAAACAACGAGTACTCTATTAGTAATTGTTCACCGAGTTGACATCCCTAGTATTTATCATTAATCAGGTCGCTGTGTCTTTGAATAGTTTCATAGTTTGTCATCCGGGGCCAGTGTTTTCTCTTAAAAAGAGACAGAGTCGGAACAACGGTAAAGGCATAATTAATCCGTCCTAGTAACAATCTTATAGATTTTAGATCTCCTTTTTGCTTTTGTTTACTGATATTTCGCGTGGAAAAAGTTTGTCCCAGTGATAGAACAATTAATGCTAAAATATATAAGGAACGGATTTTCATCCAAGGCCTCATGATGAACTAGTATCTGCATATAAATTGCATTTTCGAAAAATATCTAAAGTATTTCTATATCAATTATGATTTAATAGAATTTAACCAAAACTATGCGATACAAACACTTGTTCTGCAAGATAAATCTATAGCTATAACTTTTGTTATATGTTCCTAAAAAGGAAGCACGTGTCTTTTCATCTTTTGGTATAAAATATATTTGTAAATTTTGACTATCATGTTCAATCTAAGAAAATACTTTATCTGTTCACGGCCAATATGTATATAACACAAACTACACAAAGACACCCTGGTATAAAAACCATATAAATTATGACATATTCCGTATAAGAAATTTTTTATCAGGTCTCTTCACTTTCCGCAGAAAGACCTTTTGATTTTGTTCTGATTATTTTTGTTTTTTTCCGCCACTTCTGTTTTTGAAATGCCGCATTTGTTTCGCAACATGTCGATCGGATATTGGGTATATACTAACGAACTAACGCACACGTTTTGTGTTTAGACATGTTAGAATCTTACTCCTTTTAAACGCGCGTTTGGCGTACAAAATTTTAAGCCTAGTAACTATGATGAGTTTATTTACAATCAATGGGTTGATGTTACTCCTGTTTGAGTTTTCCTTCCCGAGGGTATCACCAGCCCAGTAGTCAGTACTTCTGTATTGACATGAATTATCATTCATATGATCATGATTATATATCAACTGTTTACAAGACTTAGAATTTTTCCAAAATACTCAGGATTTTGTATCTCAGGAATAGATAACTGTATTTGATAGCACCTTTTGGAAATTTAGGTTCGCAATGCACTTCAACTTTTGCCTGGTATCTATGATAAGATTATTAAACAAAAAACTTTTCCACATATCACAAATACATTCCTGGCATAACAACCATGTTAAATTATGACATATTTATGAAAGGAATATTGTCTTTATAAAACATTTACTCATTTAGTAAATACATTAGTAAAATAATTATTTTTAGTATAGAACATAGGCATAAAAAGCAATTATTACTATTAGTATATTTATTATTTCTTAAATAATGTTGAACTTCAGAATTGCTATCCCTGACATTATAATAAACTCATCATGGATACCAGGATTATAATTGTGTACGCCAAACGCGCGTTTCGTCTGCAATAGACTTATCAGTGACGCTCGAATCACATAGGTTGGAAAGGCCAAATAAAGTACGAAGTTGAAGAGCACTGAGGACCGCTAACTTGTTTTTAAAGCGGTAATGTTTTACCAAATAATACACTGATACATTGCAAAATTATTCCTTAAAATACAGAACATTTTTCATTCTGAGATGAAATAAACATAAAGAACTATATGCGACTGTCACACAAGTGAGAGGTTTAGCTAGCTATAAAACCAGGTTTAATCCACCATTTTCGGCATAAGAAAATGCCTGTATCAAGTCAGGAATATGAAAGTTGTTTTCCATTCGTTTGATGTGTTTGAGCTTTTGATTTTGCAATTTGATAAGGGACTTTCCGTTTTGAATTTTCATTCGAGTTCAGTATTTTTGTTGTTTTTCTTTTGTTCACATATTATAGTTCCTTTTGATTTTATATAGCTCCTCGTGTATTCGAGAACTTGTACAGCTTTGGCTTTCTAATTTGGGGGTTGGAGAGTTCCTGATGAAGGTAAATCCGGAAAAGCATTTTAAAAGCACCAAATTTTTGCACATCTTACTCTAAGCATAGCAAAACATTTTGTTGTACATAAATTCCCATTTCAATCGTGTTTTTATGTCAAAATTCCTTTAAAAAGTCACGTTTTTTGCACAATGTTGTAACATATCGGATATAAATTAAGTTTATTATTATTATCATTATTTAAAGAGAGAAGAACCTTGGACCATTTTCGACTTCCGTAATATAATATAATGTATCAAAATGACTGAATATTGCAAGTAAACATTATTGAGAATGTCATCATTCTCATATTTCTCTGAAGTCCATAACATTAAATTGCAGATGCAAAGAACTCTGGTAGATACTTGTGCAACCACCAAAAGACGGTTAAAATATTGTGCAAAAGGTTCGTTTATTACTGAAATTACATTTTCGTTCTTTCCTGTACCAGATTTTGTTTAAGAAGTAAAATGTACATAAATTGACTGTATTTTAACCCAACTTTCAGAAATTCCTAAGATCTTATAGCTTTGTTTTTCATTTTTTATTTTGGTAACGTTTGTGGTTTTCAAAGCAAAAACGAACTTTGTCATAACTTTGTCTACAACAGGGAATAGGTTTCATGTACCAGTAATTTTTCAAACGTATTTACTAAACTTTTATCATATCATTTCTGTACAATACCCTCAAAGTTTTGTTTTTGTTTGGCCTAAACTTTTTTTGTGGGTTTACAATAACAAAATATAGATTCAGTCATACCTATACAAAGATTGAGGCTGTCTCAAAAATCTTCTACGCATATTTATTTTGTTCGTATTTTTCTTTGAAAGGTATTGGCGTCGTAAAATATTTTATTATTTCACTTTTCTTTTTGAAAGTTATGATCCTTAATTGTAATAATTATTATTTAGATGAAGATAATTTCTCCACTAATTGTGATATTTTGCTGTACACTGGTTGTAAAATCGGAAACATGCCTTGGGAAAAATGAAAAGGCAGTATTGTCTGGAATAAAATCTTCCATAAAGAAATTGGAAGAAAAATTGGAAGGTAAGGTACCTATTCATTTTTATACAGCTAAAAGATCTCACTCATGTTTTGTTTTACTTGTTCACACAATTCCTACGAGTAGCAGCGATTAAGAGCTTGACATGCTGCATAGACATCCGTAAATTATTGAAGACTTTATGCTGACATCAGTATGTCTTTATGTTATTTGTATCATTGGGTCGCTCTATCTATGGCATTGTCCCGGCGATTATGTATATAAACATATAATTTTGTTTATATTTTTCTTTTGGTTCATTTGTATTTTTCGGAGTTGAGTGTAATATTTCGCTGAACTAGTATAGATTATAGTTTACGGGCCAGGTGAAGCTTGTTTTACTCATTGGTCGTGTTGTTGTCTCTTTGACACATCCGCCGTTACCATTATCTATTCTATATATATATAATATAAATAAGTATAAATTGAAAACAACATTCAAACCTATGATTGCGTTGGATAAAAACCGCAGTTTTTATACGTGTGCATGCAAAACAAATTTCTTGGTAGAGGGGTCTAAATACACCACAAACAACATTTTCCAAAAGACCAAAAAAGTGAAAAAGTATATTTAAACAAAACGCATTTGATTAACAGGTCGAACAACGGATGTTATTAAACCCACCTGACTGCCATTGGCGATTGCCAAATAAACTTTATTATTAATTTAATACCAAACAGAAAATAATAAACTTGCGGAAAAGATGGTATACCGCAAACATGAGGTGCAAAATTATTACGATATTTCAGTTCATTTATAACAAGCAGGAATTGTATTGCCTTAATTACTACCCAGGCCAATTTCTCAGTAAAATATTTGTCTAAGTGGTATATGTCTATTTTTTAAATGGGATATATAAACTTCGTTATCTATCAAAAGAAAAGACGTTTAATCAACGTTAATGAAAGCTAATGATTTTTTTCATACTATCTCATTTCTATGCATGTGTTAATGCTGAATCTGTTGAAGAAGAAGCTGTAACCAAAAATAATCAGAAATTCTTTTTCAAATATTTTTCGAAATGCATCAATCTCAGACTTAAACTCATAAAATCATTATTTACAAAATACGTAGATAGTATTCAATATATGTAGGAAAATCTCCGAGATGCAGACCAGGATGGAAAGAATACAAGGACAGCTGTTATTTCTTTTCTAAAGACAAAAAACCCTGGCAAGAGGCGGAGGTATGTATCAGTTTGTTTTTAGTTTGAACACAATAAAATAGAATAGCTTGAACCGCATGAAATAAAATTTACGAATACTTTGAAGATCCTACTGTGACCAGAAGTTGTTTAAATGCATCTTCTTATTTTTTTATAATAATAAGTTCTGAGTGATTTGCTTAAATTTTAAATTTATTTAACTTCAATCGTGATATACATATCTGCATTTTCATCTTCATACTTCTCCCAATGAAAAATTTGTGGAGAATTTTAGAATTTAATCAGTAATTTGCACTTGATGCTTCAATCTGATTAAAAAATCTCGCTTGCTCTGTCAATGAGGAAATCGAAATCAGAGATCTATATTTTAATCAGATTGTTGATGCTTCAAACTTACATTTTACTAAAATGCCTCTGAAATGTTTTGTATATTCCAATGTGCATTATCTTTAAATGACCACACAATGTTATTCCTGCTGGGTCGTGATCCAGGGTATTACTCAACCGAAGCACCACGGGTTGCTTGACCTTAATATTGATCTCCCAAAACCAGATTATTTATGTTTAAAAAGGCATTTATTTATATGTTTTGGACTTTTTGAGACTTTGCTTTAAACTCAATATAAAAAGACAAGTGTAATCGTCGGCGTATTTATATATTCAAAGTTACATTAATTTATTACCATTGATAACAAATAATAAAACCTACTTTTGGCAGGTTTGAGGCGTCAAGTGCTTATAACCAATTAGTTCTAAAAATTCTCCACCACAACTGCTTTATGATTGTAGGTAGATTGTCGAAATCTTGGAGGTTACCTTACACAAGTCACCGATTCTGGCGAAAATTCCTGGATTGTTACCATGATCAAAAGTAAAAGTAAGTATATCATTTGCTTTCTGAGGTGATATCAAACCATTGCAAAGAAATTGAGTCTTATAGGTAACATTCATTAGCTGATGGATAGAAGTATGGTCACCTCTTAGTCGGCAGTAAAATGTATAAATACCCTACCACGTCTAGTCGGAGTGTTGACGTTAAATCCGATACCTCCAGTAGAAGCAGTGTCACGTTATCCACACGTGTAAGAACCATTTCAACAGCTCGTATTAGTCCTTAAGCTGTCTGTTTCTTGTTTTGGGTTATATTAGTCCTTAAGCATGTTAAGTTGTCTGTTTCTTGTTTTGGATTATAATAATTCTTATTTTGTGAAGAATCACACTGATTCTATCAGAAAATACACTGAAGATGAAATTATCAAAATGCTGGACTTTTTGGTCGACAATTATATTTGTTGAATTGGAGGATTGATCAACAGACAGTCGGTATTCCATTGGGTACTAATTGTGCACCCCTACTGGCCGATTTGCTTTTGTATTCGTATAAAGCAGAATCATTCAGACTTTCTAAAAGACAAAAAGAAAAAGCACCTTGCGAAATTCTTTAATTTTACTTTTAGATATATTGATGATGTCCTATCACTGAATAACCTATATTTCAGTCAGTACTTGCATCTCATATATCCCAGCGAACTTGAAATTAAGGATACTACTGATACTAGAAGGACTGCTTCATACCTTGGTCTTTTCCTTAACATTGACACAGATTGGCGACTTCAGACTAAAATCTATGACAAACGGGATGATTTCGACTTCCCAATTATCAATTTCCCATTTCTCAGCATTAACATACCCTCTGCCCCGTCGTATGGTGTTTACATCTCTCATTTGTTACGGTATGCTCGTGCATGTTCACACTATACGGACTTCATATACAGGAGTGTGCTCCTTACGCAGAAACTGCTCCAATAGAGTTATGAGGATTAAAGATTAAAATGACACTCCGTAAAAAAAATGACACCATCACGAATTAGTTGAACTATACGATGTGTCTGTGTCTAAACTAACTAACGACCTTTTTTCCCACGTTTTAGATTGTGGTTTACCATCTACGTCGTCTGGTCTGCTTAGTACCGAACGTGACCTATTCCCGAATATGATCGACTGTTTTGTCGATTGGGAATTCGCATTGCTATACGACGTGCCTAGATATTTATATATGCAACATTCATGTGATGTTTCTTTTGTAAGTCCGGTTCGTTATTTTGTTTTGTCTTATGTCGCTGTTGGAGATGACGTGGTTCAGTATTAATATACCCCCCTTTCGGGCATTTTGGTGATACTTTCTTATACGTGTGGGTCCGGTGGGTCATTTTGTGCTGAGTTGTTGTCTGTTTATTTCGTTTGTGGTTTGAATTCTGTATTTTCGCTACATTTCTGTTATTTTTAACATTGCCATATAAGCGGGAGGTTTGGCTAGCCATAAAACCAGGTTCAACCCACTATTTTTTCTTAAAGTGTCCTGTACCAATTCAAGTCAGAAATATGACAGTTGTTATCAGACAGTCCGTTTCTATGTATGTTGGCGTTTGTTTTTGTTGTAGTTCAGTGTATGTTGTTCCGTTGTTTTCCTCTTATTGTTGATGTGCTTCCCTCGGCTTAAGTTTGTTACCCGGATTTGTTTTTGCTTAATCGAATTATGACTATTAAACAGCAGTATACTACTGTTGGCTTTATTTATAAGACAAAATGTCTGTCCCTATCCAACATAGCCTCTTTTTCTGTTTTGATTTTTAGCCCGTTTATTCGATCGATTTTCTTTTTTATCGATTGTTAATTTTTTCTGAATATGCATGAAATATTTTCTAACTTTATGCGATACTTCCAATACTTTAAACTGTTAATTGGTTTGCTTTGCATAGGTTTATGGAGAAAAAAAACAATTGCAAAAGATGAATTATAATAATATTATTGTCTGGCAATTTCATCATACATCTTAATAATGAATTGAATCATTTATACAGAAGTGACTCAGCAACATTATTGGATGGGTGCAACAGATTTTAAGGAGGGTGATTGGAGATGGGTGAATGATTTGTCTAAAGTAACTTATACAGATTGGAACACTGCGACACATGAACCTACTAATGCAGGTGGCATAGAGGACTGTGCTCATTTCTGGCATGGACAGAACTACAAGTGGAATGATCAGCCGTGCAAAGATGCATTTGCGTACATTTGTGAGAGCCCTCAGGTATTTATTTTTCGTTACAAGACTCCGTCCTTTTTGTGTGGTGAATATTTGTCTCATTGGCAATCATACCACATCTCCTTATATTTGTATTCAGTGCTATATTTGATTATAATATTGTTTTATTAAAGATACATTTACATTAAAAGACTACTTTAAAAGCAAATGTCTGTACACACATATGTAACTCCAGGTTCGTAAGTCTTTGAATATTTTGATATGAAAGTTCTTCGTAAAAATGGTAACATCTATTAACAATGAGTGATGATATGAATGCTGCAGAACTTAAATGAATACCATGACACCGATTTGTTTTTCGTGTTGTTCTTTTACATTGAATTTGAAAAAAGCTTTACTTTTATTTAAACGAGAACCAATGTTTCTTTTTTTTTGCATTTTATTGTAGGGGTCGAATTGTCTTCCATACTCAAGACTGTTAAAGAGTTCTCTCCGTGGAAAGAAGTAACAAGCAACTTGTCGTGAGAAAATAAAAGTCAAATAAAGTTTGATTCATATTTATTTCTTGTCTTAATTTATGAATGTGTATTCTCTTAGGTTATCCCGTATCATTTCAAAGTATCAAAGTTGACGTTAAGTCCTTTTCAACTGATTTTCCCATGTTACGGGAGGGTTGAGCGCTCACAAACATTTTTAACCAGCCACATTTGAACATTGTAGGCATAAAATTTGTACATATCTTTATACCGAGCAAAAGCGAGATGTACAATATTGACAAATTCTCATGTTTAAATGACTTGTTTAGCCCCGCCACATTTTTTTATGTTCATGTCCCAAGTCAGGAGCCTGTAGTGGTTGTCGTTGGTTCATGTCTGTCATATTTGTTTTTTGTGAATTGTTTTGTTATAAATAAGGCCGTTAGTTTTCTCAATTGAATTGTTTCATATTTTTCATGTCGGGGGCTTTTCTAACCGACTATACGGTATGGGTTTTTCTCATTGTTGAAGGACGTACGGTTGCCGATAATTGATTACATCCACTTCATTTGAACTTTGGTGGATAGTTGTCTCATTGGCAATCATACCATATCTACTTATTTTGTTATGATGCATGACATGGAAGAATTATTTCTATTCAGAACTCAGATCTTTTCTACGTTCGGATATGGCCTGTAATTAGATATAAGAAGATGTGGTATGAGTGCCAATGAGACAACTCTCCATCCTAGTCAAAATTTATAAAAGTAAACCATTATAGGTCACAGTACGGTCTTCAACACGGAGCCTTGGCTCACACCGAACAGTAAGCTATAAAGGGCCCCAAAACATTACTAGTGTAAAACCATTCAAACGGGAAATATAAACACATTCTAATGCAATCATTTTGATTTGATTAAAACAATCAAGCGTTTTACGATTAAAATATAAAATACAAATACAAGATGACTTACGTTTTTAAAGATTTCTCCCGCAAAAATGTTCATTTTTATCCCAAGCGTCGTAAGAATTACAACTAACGTTGCAAATTCGATTAAGACGCCAAGCACTATCCGATGTTTTATTGGAAATAGATCATGGCTTTGTTTACATAGCGACAGAAGAGTGTCAGATTAGAATATGAATTAGTTTATATCAGTTTTCACCTAGTTTGGTATTTGTTCAATTCCAATGATTGGTACCGTTTAATAACGGAACTTGGACTGTTATAGCTAAATATATCCCAATACCATTCTTACAGAATTAATGTTTAAGTTCAATTACGCTTTTTTATGACAGCAGAAACTACTAATAGTGGGCAAAAAATTACCAGAAGTCATCTTAAAGAACAAATCAACCGCTAAGCAGGGAAAAACCAATGGAACATATCTGAAAATATATCCTTTAGTCAGTGATTTTAGAAGAGTTATGAAATGAGAGGCGGACGGTTGAATGAACAAACGGACAGACGAACAGACAGAAACAACAACCTATCTCAACATTGTGTTACACACACACACATTATAAGAAACTACACAGGCAGTAATCAAAATGAGATATAATGCCAACACAAAAATTTCTGTATACAAATCTGTTTTTTCATTTATCATTGACATTTTTTGTTGGTTTTTCTTGTTTGATTTTCATTGTTCATGTGTAGTGCGTTATTTCAATGATTGATAAAACAGGAGAGAGATAAGTATCTCTGCTGGTGCACTGTTAGTCCCCGAGAGTATTGCAAGCCCAGTAGCCAGTACTTCTGTACTGGTATGACAATACTGATTTTGTGTTATCAAAATTTGCTGTTAAAAAAATTGGGAAATTACTTTAGATTAAGGAATATATATCCCTCGTGCAAAGCTCTGCTTCCTTGTCCGACTCTGGCTAATCTTTGTTTGTCCTTTTTAGCTTATAAAAAGATCCTTATTTTGTTTCATAAGCTTTGGATTTTCAAATATTTTGGCCTCGAGCATCACTGAAGTGACATTTATTGTCGAAATGATTATCTGGAGCAGAAAAATTGGTATCACTAATGTTATTGAATTAAACATGCCTGCATATCTGTTTTTCGTTTATTGTTTTGTACATAAATCAGGCCGTTGTATTTTTCTCGTTTGAATTGTTTTAACATTTTGGGGGCTTTTTATAGCTTGATATGCAGTATGGGTTTCGCTCATTTGTGAAGGCTGTAATGTGACCGATAGTTGTTTACGTCTACGTTATTCAGTCTATTGTGGAGAGTTGTCTCGTCGGCAATCATACTACATCTTTTTTTTTAATATATGTATGCATAGGAATTGAAAGTTGTGAACCTTGGAATGTCTTTTTTTTAAATATTTTTCTATTGCCATTTCCATTCAGTGCTTGTAACGAGCAGGGAATCCTACACGCCAGACGGTACCTTATGTACCCGTGGACCCGGACCAGGGTCAATTCCCTGGATTAGTTGTGTATCGTTGGCTAACCCTAACAATTGGTAACGTTCATCCAAATTTTAACTTAACCTATGATATAAGTGTCTAACGAGAATGAAAAAGATTACTTTCAGTAATTATACTATATGCGACCCTTAAAACTAACAATTGATAACAGCACAAGGGACGGATTATTTTAACCTTGGCTTAGCCTTACTTCAAAATTAAATATATGACTGGTCACCTATTTGCCTGTCAGCACTTAAGTGCTTTGATTCTGAGGTAATATACGATTACTAGTATATGGTAACCAGTGCGCTCCTTGATCCTTATTCAGAGCAAATGTGTCACTGGTCCAAAGGGACAGTTTGACGTTGTACCTTAACCATATACCACGGGACAATATGTCACCACCTTATTCAGATAATACAATTGGCTCTTGCTAAAGAAAGATTTACCAAAGGGCCTTTGGGGAGGGGGATAACATATTTAATTTTTATTTATACATCCAAAATCAAAGTACTACTGATTCCTCACGTTCAAATAGCTTATAATATTTTATTATTTGGTTGTATAATAACTTATAATTGCATTACTCTTGGTTACACAAAATGTCAAACAGCTATCATATTAAATGATTGAAAACACTCTGAACAATTGCAGAATAAAACAATAACAGATGCGTAAAAAAATTAAGTTATATTTAACTTTTTGTTAACTTATCGGATGCCTAAATATAGATGCAAACCGTGTGGCTAGAATTAGTTAAACTAATTATTAAAGAAAATAGGCAAAATGTGAATTTATCTTTATATAATTTCCTTTATTTATGATAGACAATCGTTTCACAAGAAATAGATTAAGTTAGAGATGGTACATAAAGTAGGGATTATCGTCTACGAGTCCACTACTTCTTATTAAATCTCTAATAAATAAAAAGACGCCTAGATTAAAAAATCAAAAAGGTTTTTAAATATATCAAATCTTCACCTGTTCATAATTCTTCAAGTCGGATATATATTTATTCTATTTTCGATTTTTGTCTTAAATATTTGCTTATAAAGCGTTTAAAAATTTGCATATAAGGAAAATAAAAAAATATATATATAACATCCTTCAAGATATGAGCAACACCTTTACCTAACGCGATAACTTCAAAAAACAATTTCACCTTTTCAAGAAGCAACAAACATGCTTTACCTGTATATACATATATCAGTTCTCTGAAGCTATTATATGTAGAAACTTGCACAGACCGTCACTGACATATTTTGTTTTTCGTGTTTTTTCCTTAGTATGGATCCACTCCTAAATTATTAGCAATAAGACAATCATAAAAATAAAATTGAGAATGGAAATGGGGAATGTGTCAAAGAGACAACAACCCGACCATAGAACAGACAACAGCAGAAGGTCACCAACAGGTCTTCAATGCAGCGAGAAATTCCCGCACCCGGAGGCGTCCTTCAGCTGGCCCCTAAACAAATATATATACTAGTTCAGTGATAATGAACGCCATACTAAACTCCAAATTGTACACAAGAAACTAAAATTAAAAATAATACAAGACTGACAAAGGCTAGAGGCTCCTGACTTGGGACAGGCGCAAAAATGCGGCGGGGTTAAACATGTTTATGAGATCTCAACCCTCCCCCTATACCTCTAGCCAATGTAGAAAAGTAAACGCATAACAATACGCACATTAAAATTCAGTTCAAGAGAAGTCCGAGTCTGATGTCAGAAGATGTAACCAAAGAAAATAAACAAAATGACAATAATACATAAATAACAACAGACTACTAGCAGTTAACTGACATGCCAGCTCCAGACTTCAATTAAACTGATTGAAAGATTATGTCTTCATCATATGAATATCAGGCACAATCCTTCCCGTTAGGGGTTTAGTATCATACCATCATAACATATATGAGAAGAACATAACCCGTGTCATGCCAACAACTGGTTTTTAAATAAATGTGTTTAGTGCCGATGCAAAGACCCTATAAGTGAATCAATATTAACGCCAAAATATGCAATCTTTAATGACCTGACAACAGTATCGTAACTATATCCTTTCTTAATAAGTCTATTTAAAGGTTTTGTTAGCTTCAGAGGTGAATACTGACATTTTTGTGCTTTATAAAGAATATTTCCATAAAAAATTGGATGTGAAATACCTGAACGTATAAGAAGTCTGCATGTTGAGCTATATTTACGAATGATGTCCTTATATCGATGATAAAATTTAGTAAATGTTTTGACTAGTTTGTGATATCGAAAACCCTGGTGTAATAATTTTTCAGTAATACATAAATTTCTCTCGTTAAAATCTAAAACATTGTTACATACACGAGCGAATCGTACAAGTTGAGATATATAAACACCGTAAGATTGTGACAAGGGAACGTCACCATCTAAAAATGGATAATTAACGATAGGAAATGAAAAATCATCTCTTTTATCATATATTTTAGTATTAAGCTTTCCGTTAATGATATAGATATCAAGATCGAGGAAAGGGCAGTGGTCATTGTTAGTATTAGCTTTATTTAAAGTAAGTTCAACAGGATAAATTTCTTTAGTATACACACTGAAGTCGTCATTATTGAGAGCCAAAATATCATCCAAATATCTAAAAGTATTATTAAATTTGTGTATCAGATGTTGTTTC